GACCCCTCATCTGGTCATGTACACACTTAGGTAGTACAGCCCACTCCAGCTGGCTTGTCAGGGACCCAAATTCACTGGACAGTCACCCCGGACGGAGGCTACCCTGAGATCTACCGTACTTAGTATTTAGTACGCGCATAACAGGCAATTTTGCCCACAGGTGTCATTGCTCTTCGACCTTGGTGGCTCGACATCATTTCCCTGCACCAGCTGTGAGAATGCTTACCTATCGATGATGTCGCCTTTTTCCATAAGAACTCTAGCTCTTCAGTTTATTGAACATTTCAATAATAATTAGATTGCAGGTTTGCCTTGCGTTCCCTCACCCAATACCTACAGCAGCACAGTATAATGACAACCCTCAAAACGGAAAATACCACCTGGACCCCTCCTACTGGGTACCTAGTAAATCACGACAAAATGGCCCAGGCGTGAATTACTAGGTACGTACTGCAGTCAGCCAAGAATTCCGAGTCTGCCGGTCTACTACTACCATATGTGATACCCCGGTGCTCATACCTCTGCACCAAATTACGTACATATTGACCTACTGCTATTCCCGTTGGTAAACAACGGTAAACAGCAGTGTGCGTCGACAAGGCCTCAGCACTACCCAAGTATCAATCAGACCAAGTTCCAAAGCTCTACTTCCCTAGCTCTACATTTCCAGTGGCGAACAACTCAGTCTCCAGTCCAGCAAGGCCTGCCTCTTCTTGATGGTGGGTAGGATTTCTCGTCCATCCAAACAGGTCCCAGAATGGGCAATCCATTCGCTGGCTTCACTCGGCTAGTGGCTCGGTGCTGCGTTGCGTTGCGTTGCCCTGCCCACTGCCCTGGCCCTGGCTTACACACTACGTGCATGGTTATGAAGTCACTGCTTCGCCATTGCCCCATTCATTACTTACACTACGAAGTGCACTATGAGACGAGACAACCGCCCTCCGGTCGATCTTAGCGTTACCGAGTTACTTACCTAGCCGCACATACATATGATTGGCGTGATAAGACGGCGTGCGCTCCTGTAAGTACCTCCTTCACGATTAACACGTTACCACAGTTCAGTGCGCCCCACGGATCTTAGGGCCGCGGTGTCGAATCGGCCTTCGGCTGGATAAATCTAGTCCAGAATCGTAGCTTATGTAACACGTACGTACGCACGACACTGACGAGCATAGTTTAAAGGGCGTAGCCTTTCGCTTCCTGGAAGAAGTCAAAGATTGTACCAGGTGGCCCAAGCGTAAAGACTCATATGTGCGTCGAATGCCAAAATGCGCGGGCTGAGCTGGGAGGCAACAAGCCACATCGGAACTCATCACTCACATCCACGCCACGCCACGAACGATGATTCAATAAAGCGTTTTGCACAGCACAGCACAGCACAGCACAACAGCCGGAGGCACAAGTTTGAGACACACTGTCTCTGGTTCTATCACTGCCGAAATCGAATTTTCGGTATTTGGTTTTTTTCCCAAGCAAGACTCCGTCATTTGTTCCCAACAAGTGGCGTACAACGCAACAACAACAACAACATCAACAACAACAAGACATACGTATGTAGTGTGGGGAACGAAATGAGACGAAAATAATGTATCTGCTATCAGTAAGTGAACGTGCCCTACAGTACACACATACGTACTCACATACCCCGCGTGCAGTGCAACAAGCAGATGCTACCCAGGTACTACACACATCATATCGAGCCACCATCTATAGTAAGTAGGTAAGTACTGTAGTTAAACTTGCGCAAGCCGGTCGACCAGCTACAGAGGCCCATGCAGTGCGGTGCACCGCAGCGTTCGTTCGTTCGTTCGTTAGCGTCATGATTATCTGCATGTCATATAAGTTTACTACTACCTAGGCTGCGTTGCCTGGTCAAAACATGGAACCCCCTAACATCCATCATCGGCTTTCCATGCTAGGAATCCCATGTCCTTTTTTCTATTTCGCTTCATGGACAGACTGTCAACCCTGTGCGGATGGTTAAGTCAGTTTATTTATCTATCTCGCAGGTTGGGCAGGCAGGTCTAGATATAAACATCCATATATATATTCATGCCTATGTTCCCGCGTTGGGATACTCCAAGCGGGAACGAGGGGAAGGGATCACGGATCGCCCGCACCGCATTAACAGTAGTGCTCTGCACATCATTATAGAACAACTCACCTACAGTATATGTAAGTAATTAGGCGGACTAGGTAGGCAGGCAGTTACCCCGCCGACGCAATGAACATCGAATCGAAAAATGCTCGTTACAACATCTCAAAACAAATATCAGAAAATAGCGTATCTATGCAAGCTGAGTAGGTATGAAGTAATTAACGAGATAGTTAGAGTTGTTCGACCTACTATGTACCTACCTACCTTAGGCAGATGAGGCGACGTAAACAATACGGCTGCGTATTTAATTAATCCATCGAACTGCCCTTTACTTTCGCCTCTTCCTCCCTCCGTGCCCTTTGTGCCCCTCGAGTAGCATTGGAGGGAACGTAGCACCTCCGATGCAGCTACCCGCTACTTATTCATCCATGACTCTCGATGGTTCAAGCCCGTGTACCTACACTATTACCTATCAGAAGGACCTTGCAGGTGGCACTGCAGATTCTTTGATCGGTGGAGATGACAATTATATATGTACCCGGTATTCGCTACATAGAGTAAGAGGAGATTTTCTCTGAGATTCAGGGTTCAAGAGATTGTTGTAGGCGGATGGGTAAGAATTGAATTACCAGAACACCCCCAAAAGGGAGGACATGAAGTGTATATATGTATGTATATATATATATAATTCAATTTTAAGCCAGCCATGGACGTGTTGAGTTAACTAGTAGCTGATGAATGGGATTGACGATAGATATGTTTATGTATTATCTCTTCATTCGACTCACTCGCTTCCTTCCAACCAGGGTATCAGACCTTCGTTCTAACAAAACAAACCCAGAAGCTCCTCTTAGTTTCTTCCAAGACACTACGTACATGAAGGTTCCAACACGTGTAACATGATATACCATCGTCATCTCGTCTCCCTCGTCAGCTCGGAAGGGACATATGCATCCCGACCCGTCCCGACCCGCCTTCCGTATCACGTACAGGGCGTCTTCTCTAATTCCAGCCTCTTTTAATCCCGATGTATTCTCTAACAGGACTCTTTTGCTTCTTTAAAACTCTATAGAAGTCTTAGGGTTATCAGATTCCACGATTAAACACGACCATCCCACCCTCGCCACCACGACCACGGAACTCGTCCTCGAGACTCTCAGCACTGATGCGCTGGCGCTGCGGGAACGCGGCGAGAGCAAGCGGCAGCGCGATGTAGCTCATGCCGAGGATGAGTCCCAGGTTGACGGGGAGCGTCAGCCGCGGGTTGTTGCGCAGCCACTGGGTGCGCTGGAGCCGGACGAGGACCAGGGGCGGGACCACCATGATGGGGCTGCTGTTGAGGACGCGGCTCAGCGCCGTCTCGCCGACGGCCAACGTCGCCGCCTTGCGGCTCTTGCCCAGCGAGGCGACCTCACTCTCCGGCCGGCCCTCGGCCGCTAGTTTTTCTTTATCGGCCGCCGACAGCACGGGGTACACGTCGATGCCGACGCGCATCTCCTCGCCGCGCATGAGGAACACGTTGAGGAAACCCGCCGACGCGACTGCGGCGAAGGGCACGAGACGGCCGAGGATCAGCTTCGTCGAGGGCGACGCACGCTTCAGACGCGGCACCAGGGAGTTTAGCCCTACAGCTACGGAGCACGAGGCGCCCACGGCGAGGAGGTAGGATTGCGCGAGCTTCGAGTATGACAGCGGTGTGGATTTGTTCGCGTTCGCGTTGTTGATGGCTACATTGAGGGACTGGTTTCCGATTTGCCAGAGGACGGTGCCGGTATTCTGCACGGTGGGATTAGTTAGCTTGTGGTTTGCTTTACACTCTTCTATGTCGCTTTCGAGGTGCTATCAGGATTCGGTGTCTGGGGGGGAGGAGCGCGTACTGATAGACCTGGCGTAAGCATTCCTGCTGTGACGACCAGATTTGAGAGGGCAAAGCACGACATCCGAAAGGGCAGCAAGACGGGCTCGCCAGTATCTAATCGCATCGCATCCGATTAGCCAAGTTCAAGATCGCCAGGCGCAGTGGATCGGAGGGAAGGGGACGTAGGGTCGTCGCCGTACCAGGATGTATCGTCGAGTCGAGAATCTTCTTCGCTTTCCACAGCTCTGGAGTCATCTCCCTGATCTCGCCCTGCTTGTATGCCATGACCAGCTTCTTCGCATTTTCGAGGCCGCTCTTCCCAGCCAGGAGGGTCCTACAGAGAGAGCGCAAAGATAGGTCAGCCCATGCCCGTCGGGAAGAGAACGACAGTCGGTTGCTCGGCCGGAAGGCAAGATGCATGAGAAAGGACGAAGAGAAACCCACCTCGGATCGGTGATGCTCGCAGTATGGCGCACGCGACCCCAGTACGTGCTCAGGTCATACTGCGACTCGGGCAGCTCCCGGTTGCCGGGGATGGAGGCGGACATCTTTTGGTGGACTGGTGTCGAAACTGCCCGCGCCGACCACTCCTGCGGCTGCTGCTCTATGGGAACAGCTGTTATACCACCACCGAGCCGCAATTGATCATTGGCAACGAGAGGCTGGGAGAGTCGCACAATGCGACGGTGCGACTCTTCTCATGGGCGGTGAAGCGTGTTGTTGCCAGCCCGACCGAGATCGGGGCGCCTTCCCGCTACCTACCACACTCACAGACGGCCCCCCACCATCCGCCGCTGCCTATCCGTCTGTACCACTCCACTGCCACAATCAACAGCCGTTATCGATACTTACTATGAGGGTCGCACGTAGTCATGTGTTGCATCGAATTTGGAAAAATTAAACTTAGAGTGTCAACTGAACATGAGAGCCAAATTTGACCTGCAACCGTAGATTAACAAGGGCCAACAAATAAAATGACAGCACTCCAAGCCAGAGATTCATGATCAATATCGTGATTGATATGGAATTGGCAAAAGAATAATTCGACTTCGGCCGGACTCGAACCGACAATCTCTAGAGAATCAATTATGAACCGAAATCTAGCGCCCTAGCCATTAGGCCACGAAGCCGGTGATGTTTATCGATGAATAGGTCTTCACTAAGAGTAGTTAGTATTCAAAGTTCAGAGAGAACTTACCAATTAGCGCCCGCGCAGCAATAGCTCCTAGTCAGTTGATAAAAGCTTCCAGGTTGGGTAGATGTTATGTTATGTTGTTACCCCTCTGCATGAAATAACGACAAAAATTAGTAACTAAAGGAATGCCTTGCTAAGTAATAGGGAGTACCTAAGTAGCCATACAGCCATACAACCTATTTGATTCTTCAATCTTTAGTCGTTGCCTTAGGGTAAGCAGGTAAGCCTGATTGCAGCTGAGAGTCGTCTGTTTTAGGTATTCCAGGCGGTCGTAAGGTATGCCTAAGGCATCAACAAACAAGCACTCATCCTATCACCAAAATGGCAATGTTGCAACCGCAGCCTGTTGGGAAGAAATAAACGGAAGTCGATAAGAGATAGCATCGACGCACCCGGAGCTAGATACTTACGTATCTAGGCTAGGTATTTACTCGTTTGGTAGTTTCGTGTCCTTGAAAACAAGCACCAACCTCGGCGTAATCACAGCATAAGACACGGCTTCACACAAAACATCGCGACACATTTCCTTGCGGACGCGACAAAGAGTGTATGTGTAGACAATAAAACTAAGATGCCATTGTGTTTTCGAAGTCAGCGTCCTATCCTTAACGCAATTCTCATCACTCACTTCTTGCCGACATACGATGGCGTACAGGTGCCGCTTGAGTACACCGAATATGTTACCACAGCCTTATCTCGGTTCCCGATTACTCCTCTGGGAGATTTCCCCAGTGCTCTTTTATAAGATGGTCATTTATTCCCTCGCTTGGACCGTCCATTCCAGAGGTAGCTCCGCCGCTTTCAGCATTGATAGACGAGAAAGTTCCCACAACGAAATTCTCATCCTCATGTGGGAGCCGAACGTTTGTTATGTAAGTGCGTACAGTTCGTTAATCGCAATTTACTCTAAGATCGAACTCTCAATGGCCAGGAAGAACGAGGATTTGGGATATTCAGATATCATAGACGCGGGATATATAAGAAATACAAGCGCTGGCGGCATATAGGCCTCGGTAGGGTATGCCACGAGTCATCATACTGCTTTCTATATAGACCAAGTCCCGTCGCTAAATAACCTCCGCCGGTCTTCCCCCTTCTATGTCTATATTCGGCCACGGGATTGATAATGCAAAGTTTTCTGTTGGACTCTTGTGGCAGGTACGACTGGACAGTGCTATGAAACGACCCCGCACGGGTAGATCATGTAGACCATCTCCATTCCTCCTACCACATATTTTACCTACCTACCAATACAACACATTACACTCTCTGAACTAACCATCTCTAGCCAGTTTGGGGATTATCCCTGTATCTGACACTACTACGGGCAGCGTCGGAGGATTTATATGAAGTCTTCATTGTCACGGATAAGTGGGTCTATACAGACCCCTACACTATATGGAGCGGATTAACCCTACTCCAGATGATCACACATATAAATAGCTACACTGAAAACCCTTTTCTAGTGATCTGGACCTAGATAGTTAGATCTTCTGAATATACATCTGGTGATCGTTTCTGGAGAGTGCACTTGTCCACTTCCTACATATGATCGCTACCCCACATCTCCGCGAGATTCATACTCTTGTAGGATGTATGATAGAAGTCTTCATTCCATCCTCGAGGGAACGGAATAATATCTTCGACGCGCTCTTTGTCTGTAGTCTTGATTGGGCGTTGGTGGAGGGCGGACGCATTATACTTTTTCCACCCCCACTTCTCCCCGAGTTGATATCGATATTGTTTCACCCTGTTATATTTAGTTAGCGTGACTCCGAGCGTGTCAGTTGGATTGGCCTTACGTTGGACAGAAACCATATCCCTTCATTATTTCCATGACCACCGGTAGGGGCTTATCTTCCTCGACATATAGACGATACAATATGTCCTTCTGTTTTTCCCAATATAGTCTCTTGCCCCTATCTGATGTTTCCACTCGTCCTATATTCAACGAAGTCGTGGGGCGGATATTAGAAGGCTCAGAGGACGGCGAATTAATGGAACCTAATAGCCCACCCGACCTAGGGTCTAGGTGGCGACTCATATAAGATTCCCGGTTGCAAATTTCGGAGGACGTGTTGGAAACTTCGGAGGACGTGCTGAGAATTTCGGAGGATGTGCTGGGAAAGTTGGTTGTCGCTTCGAGCAGAGGATATTGGTACCGGTCAGGAAAGTCAGCGACGAGCGGTGAGGATGTCTCAGCGTCTGATGATGAGTTGGTCTTAAACTCGGGAGCCCATCTTTTGAGCGCATTATTTACACATCTCCTGATAGCAGATTCGACACTACTTTCGGCGCTTGCGCTATACGATAATGAACGGCATGTTTGACACCTTGGAGGCGAAGCCACCCGCACCATTTCGATGAGATCTGTCTGGAGCTGGCATAGAATAGTTCCGATGTCTTTTGGAGCCATTGGCTGACTTTTATAAAACGCGTCAACAACATCTTGACATGTCAGCTAGGATCTAATGATTAAACCAGGTCTGACAATCAATGTAGGGGCTTTTGGTTGCGTAAAGCCAGGGCAAATACTGTCATATAACTCAAGCTACTTACCATGCTCACTTGGCCATTCATGGCTGTCTGTGAGTCTTGTGTATGGACTCACGGATCTAACCGACTCGGGGAGACGGTCAAAATCGGTGCCTATCGTATTAGCAGAAATCTGCTCAGATCGATTAGACTCCGACGATGGCATCGCACCGTTGGACGTGACGACTTGCTGCATACTATTCGGGAGACGGCCAGCATGTAATGTTGAACTTGGGAAATTGGACGGAGCTTTGTAAAGTCTATGGCTCCTCAGTGGGGCACTCTGAGCGGGAGATCGTAGGAAGCTGAGGAGGTTCGCCCAATCGAGGCAACCATCAGAGTCTAAATGGCAGCCTACAGCTTATGAATTCTACAGTGGCCAAGAAGCAGGTACTGTCAAAACATGGGTGCTAGAAATAAAGGAGTAAGAAACGCATGAAAAGCGCTATGGCTTGACATAGCTAAAAAAAAAATAAAAATAAAAAATCGGGGGCACGGGGATCCATGGAACGACGAAGCGGTGAGAAACTCAGTTTAAAATGGAATCTATTGTGTTGGATACGAAGCTTCTAAGAATGCAACCCAACGCATGGATTCCTGCTGATAACGATATACGCGACTTTAAACACGCCCTCCTTTGTTGTAGCCGAACCAATCGCAGCTAAGTGGCGTCGACGCTCGATTCGTAAGCGATTGTTTAGGTGGCAAGACATTTCGAAGCCAACAGCAGGCTTGTGATTCTCATGGTTTGTGGAAGGAGACCTCTGGTCGAGCTGTGTAGTTAGCCCGTCTCATTCCTAAGCATCTCCTGTAGCTAGAACATTGTAAACATGCGCAATCGGCGACAAGGGGTTGAGGATAAACTTCTGCGAGCTGCGTTCAGGCGCTAAGCTTTACCACATCGCGCCAATGGGGTTACCGCTGAGTACTTGTGCGTAATCAAATCGACGCCGCTGTAGACGTAAACGAGTGTCCTGAGTGATCGGAGGGGCTTCTTCAGACTAACCGGACTATAGAATGAGCATGTCCCGGCCAGAGTCCACAAGGTTGATACCTACTCGAGATTAGCTCCCCGTCTTCCACTGCCGGAGCCGGTCGTAATTGTGAGTGCTTACTTGAATACTGTGCTGGGGATGGATTTCGGGGTAGAGACAGCATACCCCCATACCGGCCAGCCTGCGCCACCGAATAGGCACACTCTCAGGACTGCGTTTTTCTTTGGTGGAGCTTAAGTGACTGAAATTTGCACATGTTGTTCATGCATCCGATGTAGCGCACCCGACTTGGTTCCCACGCTTCACCCGTTGCCCATCCTGTGCCCTACCCCCCTCTTGTCCAGAAAGCGCCCACTTCGGGGCCGCCTAAGTTTCTTTCGTCGTACCAAATCTTGCGTATCCCTTCCACTTCCCTGATCGAGACCTCGTCGCATATTGATCTATCGTGTTATAACCTGTGATCATTTCATCGTCATACAGGCTATATTGCTGGACGCTGAATATTAGTTTGTCTACTACCCTCTTCAAAGCTGTCGCTTCTTCCTTAGGGTACCCGTTGTACCTGTAGCCTGGCACAATTCTGGCTGTTCCATTTGCATTAGGCGCCGTAAGTTCGCATTGCCTCTTTGTTCTAGTCGTTATGTCGAGAGGTTGTTCGTTTTCTCCTTTCCGCTTATGTTGAGCATCACGTCCCGGCGAGGTCGTCTGATGACCATTTCTCTCATATAGTAAATGGGATATTCCATGGTTCTCTTACCTCGAGGGAAGAAGAGTTATCACCAGCATCGTGTCGATCAACTACGAGAGTTGGATTGGTTTGCAATTACCTACTGACCGACGACATCGCCGCAGTTTTCCTGTTCTCTGCCGACTTCGCATCAATCGGAGAACATCTATCGACTGTCGCTATTCGGTAGGATACATAATTGCCGTATGTTGACCCGACCGCGGACACCATGGGTAGTGCCTAGCCCTGCTGACAACCAAATTAATATGATATGCAACAGTGTACTGCGGGCCACTGTCATCGGACAAGGGCACTGGGGACGGTAGAAAATAGAAATACGCAATGGCTGAGCCGACCATTACTACTCACCTGGGCTGCGTGAGCTATTGGGGGCGGATCCTCATGGCGGTTGTGAAGGTAACCATGCTGTTTATGATGCAGATCATGACACTGGGCGGGCATCAATCCTGGGTACATACACGCTGGCGTATCGCCTCGGCGAGCTTCAATGGTCTCATAATAGCTAGACTTGGTCATACTCCCTGCCACGCGCAGCGCGTACTTGCTGTGGGAACTGTCATCCTGTCTCAGGTCCATGGGGTGCCGGCACTACCAGTATCTTCGGGGGATACGATGACAGATATAGCGATGAAATCATACGACCTGACTCGCACGTCG